TTACTATGTCTCAAACCATGTAGTTAAGTAGTGCAGGACAGGAGTGGGAGATTTGGTATTTTGCTGGAAATAGGAGGCAGAGTGCACAGCTTTAATGGTGGAGAATCCATTGCTTACTCTCCTGTGTGGCAGTAGAAGGGTTGTCCCTGCACAACCCCCTCATTTACACAGTGCTGAAGCAAAGAGGTGCCTAGATTGAAAATAAATGGAGGGGTTCAGGGAGAGAAAAGTCATTACCATGACTTGCTAAGTTGGCTGCGGTATCTTTTTCCTGTCATAAACTGTTGTGAATTTGAAAGGACTGCTGTGTTTCCTTCCCAGATATGGTAAAGTTTAGTCAGCAAAGGAAACAAGCTTTTGTTCAGAACACTCTTTTTTGAGATGAAAGTCATCAACAAAGTTGTTGCCGTGTCTCCTGTGACTGCCTTTGTTGAGGAGCTGGACTGTGTGTTCTGAGTATTCCTGATGCAAACGCTGGAGTGCTTAGTCTGAGCCAATTTACTCATTCTTCAGCTCTTACATTTTGGCTTTAACTGGCTTCCTCCTGCATGTCACATTGCATTCTCCTTTGGCTAGCGGATGCAGGGAGAAAACTTGTCCCTCTGGGCTGCTAAGAGAACTTGTTTGCTTATTAGAGCTGTCTATTGCAGGATGGAGGAAGCACCTTGTACAAGAGAGTGTTGAAGCAGAAGCATGTCCTTTGCAATGATAATACCTTCTCAGCCTTGCAAGTAACTCCACAGATACTTCTCATCTTGTCCTTTCATGAATGATACATAGGTGCAAAACCTGTGTGAAGGTGAAGATCCTGAAAGACTTCTCTCATCTATAGCAATGCCCCTAATGCAAGAGGAAATCCTCACCAGCCCTTTTCTTGAGGAACTGTATCGCTTGTTGAGAGTTTAAACAGATCACTTGTTCTGTAGATCCCGCACAATTTTGCTGGCTTGTTTTCTTGATTTTCCTAAAAATGACAGGTTGCTATTTAATGTACTCAGATTGACTTCACAACCTATCTATTCAGTCATCTGCTTTCCTTGGTCTCCTTTTTGAAAGGATTTCATTTAATGACAGCAATGAGATGGTGCACATAGGTGATGAGGTAAATTAATATAAGTACTTCATGGACCATTGCTAGGGAACAAATACTAGCTCCAAAATGCCTAAGTTATGTCTTGGCTCTCTTGCCACTCTATTATTGAGATGGCAGGCCCCAGTTTATTAAGTTGAGCCTGTGTTCCTGGTAGGTTATTTCATGCATTTCCTTGGGAGAATCCTCTAATTGAGTTGCTTGACAAACAGCCATGATGGCTCTGTAGTTGCTCTACTTTTTGGGTGTTTCTGGCCTAACCCTGCAAAATGACCAGTGTTGCCTGATAGTCCTGTCACCTAATGAGCCCAAGGAACAAATCCTATCCCTTGTGTTTGTGTGCTGGCATCCCTACAGGAGCTCCGTTATCTTTTGTTTTGGAAAACAAAATTGTGATTTCATCTGGTGGTCTGGTAAAGTTTTGTATTTGGGCTTTTAAACTTGTGCTCGGGCAGGTTTGATGTCCAGCACTGCAGTTTATGATACAGAGCCAGTTATGGGGAGTTCCTGCTAAATACACATCTTTGATGGTCTCAGTGATACTGAAAAATACTGAATTGTCAAAGTTCTGTTGTTTTCTGTCACTAGTGTGTACACTGTTCTGTGCTGCTCCATGTGTTTCTACCATTAAATGGGATTTAAATGGAATCACTAAGAACATGTCACCTTCTATTAACAGTGAAATGTATTAGGTGTCATGGAAAATAAATGTTTCCAACAAATTTACAGCATTTGTAGCTCTTGAATCATGAATGCTGAACCTGGATCACTTTGGGAGGATTTAGAGAGTGTATGTGAGTAACATGGAGCACTGCAAGAATAAAACATTTGTAAAAGCTTCTCATTTTTTTGCCAGGTAATATGGAGCTCAGATCTTGCCAAGATCAGTGTTTGTAACTGTGTGCTTTCTGCTACAGTTACATGAAATGTTAATCCCTGATGCACAGCAAAGAACATAACACCCTGTTCAGTACCTAGGGATGCTCTTGCTGTTCACTGTTGCAGCACAAAAGACAGAACCCTGGATTCAAGCTTGCTAGATACTGAGTGTCCTGGGTTGCCTAGAACCACAGCACACCCTTTGGAGTGTCTGCCCTGCACATGCTCCTCCTTACCCGTAGGCATGGCACAGGAGGTGCTCTGTAGTTAAGTTCTCATTCTCTTACATTGTGATACTGACTCTGCTCCTGCCTTAGAAGAATCCTGATTAATCTTCTCAGCAACAAATGTTATTGCTTGCAAAGAATAAAAGTATAAATGCTACAAGATGTCCCTCTTCTCTTCTGCAGCCTGTGCCTCTACCCTCCTTCCAACTTTGTGTTAAACTGGAATTGCTTGTGCGATTGTGCTATGAGAAGGGGGATAGTCATTGCTTCACAGCAATAGGCTACGTTCTCTAAACAGATCCATTGAGGAGTCCCTGTGCCCCCATCTTTCCCTTTGGCCTGCCTTCTCTTATGAAGGTGCTAATTACCCCTTACCTTCGTTCACTGTCAGGTAGTCTTTAGTGACATTGGAAGAAGAGAAACTATGCTGTCGGTGCTAATCTCAAACACAAATGTGCAACTCTTGCCACATTAGTCATGCCTTTGTGACCTCTAGGTTGGATTAGTGCAATGGTGGTAAGTAGGTGGTAGGCGGCATGTGGGTCTACAGCTGAAGACGCATGCCGAACAGTGTTGTCTACTTGTTTTAGTGTAACAGGAGAGTATTTTCTAGAGAGATGTCAGTGTTTGAGGGGTGCCCTCAGTCAGGATCCTGAGCTGACTTCTCACAGTGGTCTGCTGGAAGCTGGTTTGGCTGTCAGGCAGCACCTTAAAGCTTACCTGCTGCTCAAAGAGGGTAAGTTGAAAGACTGAATAGGGCTGCAACTTAAGACCTAGTAAGGAAATACATCAAGAGTCCTGCAGCTTTATTTTTTGCTAGTTATTTTTATGTACCAATGATTTTATTATATGGTGCTTGTGTTTAGAGAGATGGCCTTAAAGACAACTGCTTACATAGTGGAGGTCTTCTGCTCTGATCTACATATGAATGGTGCCGAGAAGTCCGGCTTCCTTATTAGGACTAGTCAATCATTTGGTCAGGTACATAATAACCATTTTCTGTGAAGTATATAAGGGCTAAGACATTAACCCCAGTCTGCATTACAGATTTCATGAAGTATTCAGGTTGAATACAGAAGGTCATGGCAAGGACGAAATTGGAATGTTATGACTGTTATGTTATGGTGTCCCTGCCCATGGCAGGGGGGTTGGAACTTGATGATATTAAGGTCCTTTCCAACCCTAACTATTCTATGATTCTGTGATTCTATGACTGAGCCTGTACATGTGAACAGCCTGCAAAGCAAAGAGGAACCAGGGAAGTAAAGCCAGTGTCAGCCCTTGGTTCAGCTGTTTGCTGAGCAGTAACTGGGGATAAAAATACACTTTTTAGTTTTGCTTCATAACAGGTTCCCCTGTTATGAAGTGGTTTCTGTCCTTGAAACTAACTTCTTTCACACACCTGGATACCTATTGGTGTGATGGTCCTAAGCCTGTGAGTGGGGTCTTAATCTGCAGCAAGAAGACATACAGAGTGATAGGAAGGGAAAGGCTCAGCAAGTATATTGGTGTTCATGTCCCAGTGTAGCTGATGAATTAGAACAGTTGTGGGTTGCTGGACTTAGTGTGTTTTGTTTGTTTAATTTGGCTTTGCCTCTGTGGTATCAGCTCAGCCTTTTGGTCTGCTTTTGATGTTGTTATGGCCACTGTCTTGGTTTTAGCAAGATTTGTCCTTCAGCGTTCTGACTTCTGCTGTTCTACCTGGCTGCTAAAATACTTTGCTATGGATATGGAGGTGGTGGGATGCAGTAGGCTGTTCATTTTGGAGACTGAGTTTAAGTGATAACCCTCTCATTCTGAAAAGAGTTCTCTGGTTTGAACTATGAATCAAATTGGTTTGCTCTTTTGGGAAGTAAGAACCTGCTAAAATCCATGCACATCTGCTGCAGTTATACTTTGGGATACAGAGCCAAATCAACCAGAAAAGTCTCCTGCTGCATCTTTGCCAGGTCCTCTAGCTACTTGAAGTGGATCACACTTCAAGTAACATGCTGTTCTGCCAGCTTTCTGCAGAAAACTGCTCTTGTCCTTCTAGCACTGTAGCAAGACAAGGTCCATCCTGACAGGTTCAGACATGGTCTGAACACTGTGTGTTCCTCTGATCTGTAGGGAGCCTCCTCTGCTCATGCTGCCCTGTTCCGGGACTTCCACCAAAAGAGGAAATGTGTGCTAGAAACAGATGTGGTTGCACAAATCTGTTCAAGCAAACTGTGTTGAAATCTGTTCTTACAAATCAATTAGGAAGGTGAGGAACCCCCCCCGTGTTAGAGAAGCCACAGTTCTTCAGGGCAGAAATGACTATGCTCATTTTTGGAGGAAGTCAGCTTATTGTGCTTATGGCCCTCAAGCTAGAGAAGTATTAGTTTCCTACTCTGAATACTGATGTCAGGAGAAGTCTTATAAAAATGTCTGGCTAAGTTATGCCCTCAATTTAGTAATGAAAACCACTTATCAGTGGTGTTTAAGCATCTTGACTAGCACTTGGCGTGTAGTAGAGAAACTGGTACACACTGGATCTATGGCTACTTCTCTCACTTTTTTTTTTTATTTTTTATTTTTCTTCCTTCTCCTTATAGTTTTTTCTCTTGCAGTATTTTGTTATTCATGTGTTAAGTAATGAAACAAAGATTGTATTCTCTAAAAATAGTGCATTTAAGGGCTCCTGCTCCAATGAGATTACAAGTTACTGGGAAATAGTGTTTTTGCTACTTCTAGCTTTATGCAGTGAGATGCCCAGTCTTATTCTGTGCTGTCCTGGTAATTCCTCTGTTAACTCTGTGTTCTCTCTCTATCCTCCTGCCTAGCTGTCTGCAGAGGGCGTGTTGTGAGGGTTCCCAAAGGTCCTCTTATTCGAGTGGTGGGAACGGAGGTGGAGATCCCTTGCAGTGTTAGTGACTACGATGGACCCAGTGAACAGAACTTTGACTGGGAATTCTCCCAGGAGACTGACTTCGTAAGGATAGTGAGTACCTGGGATTCTACATTCACCTCTGAGGAGTACCAAAACCGCGTAGGCTACGGGGATATCAAACTGAGACGGAGCAGCAATGATGCTGTGGAACTTGTGATTAGAAACATCCAGCCAACTGACCAAGGGAGATACAAATGCTCCACGCCCAGCACTGATGCCACCGTTCAGGGAAATTATGATGCAGAGGTCCAAGTGAAAGGTATTTCTGAAGAGTGAGGTGTGCTCTAAATTTGTTTTTGATATTGATTATAGATGTACTCTTAAGAATGTTGAACTTCTGTTGCTTATGAGCATTGTGATTATTTTTTTCCTCTTCTTCTTGTTTCTGCTTAATCCTTCTAAAGCCAGCATCAAAAGTTGGGAAGTGTGATAGCAAAGGCAAGTCAGGTGAAGAAACAAAAAGAGGCTGTTTACTACAAACACCACTTTACTTTTTTTCTGTCTAGTAAATATGTAAATAAAAATGGGAAAACTAAGCAGAAGGATTTCTGAAGATGTCTGCAAATATTTAATATCCCTAAGCCTCTGGGTAGAGAGGCTAACTTCAGGTAGAAAACAGCCTGTCTTCTCATTTATAGTGTCATTTAGGGATCCTTCTGAATGAAAGAGGTAATCTTTCTTTTCTTCTTTAGCATGGTGATACTGCAGTCATACCCTAACTTTGCTCTCTCATTTAGGGCTCTTCAGTAATTAACTTAGGAGGGTATTTTTTTCAAGTGTCTTATCTTTTACTCCCATGAAAATCAAGATGGTTTTCTGGATGCGAATAGTCAAAATGATAGTGTTTGGATGAGAAACTAAAGCCGAGGGGAAAAATAAATGAATTTGAATGCTTGTCTTGGCTTGTTTAAAATGGAGCACTTCCTTTAATTGATTTTCAGCTGAATTTCCTTGTTTCTTGAATATATTTATGTGTGGAAGAAGGAATGATTGGCCAAGTGTTACTCTGTGGTAGTTTTATTGCCTTATATCTGGACAGGCCAGTATGAGTTTTCTTTTTTGGATTCTGTTTTATGATGCTTGTGTCTTTGATTTTTCTTTTTATAGTGATTTCCGATGGCTTATCCGTGAGTGGTTCAAAAGCACGTTCCTCAGTGTCTCTCAGGCTGTCTGAGGGTGACTCCTTCAAGCTGCGCTGCTCAGCAATTACCACCTCACCAGAGCACACTCACCTGCATATGACTTGGCAGAGCAAAAATGGATCAACTTGGTGTGATATCCTGTCTTTGACTCATGAGGGCAAATTCCAGCCGGGCCCTGGCTACGAAGAGCGCTACCAAAATGGAGATATTCGCTTGGACACGGGGGCAGATGACACGTATTGGTTGTCTGTGTCCCAGGCCTCGTCGGTGGATGAGGGTGCCTACAGGTGTCTTGTGAGTGAGTGGGTAAGAGGGGCAGATAGCTCATGGCAGAAGATCCAGGAGAAGAGTGTGGAGATAGCAAATGTGACAATCCAGCGCACTGGTGAGTGTTACTTATGGGCCAGGGGCACACCTTGTAGCTACAGCAGTGCTATGTCCATACTGTGATACTTTGAGAGCAGAAACTGGGTGAGCTGAACTAAATGAGGATGTGTTCCAGGAGAACCTAGAGTACTGTTTGGAGAGCTGGCCTGTTTACATCTCAGCTGATAGAAAATGCTTGACATATTTTTTTTCTAGCTTCTGTTTTGGGGAGAAGGGGGATGATGGCATGGAAGCATTGACTTGGACTTCTTAGATGCCTAGATCAAGATTTTATCTCATGCTTAGTTCACTTCAGATTTTTTTCTGTGTTTTTTTTTTTTTTTTTTTTTTTAATATTTCTTATTGTATTTAACCCCTGAGCACCCCAAACCTTCCATCTGCTCTCTCACTGCACAGGGCTGTCTCATGGCACTAAACAGCTGCACTTCCCCTGTAGAAGTGGCTTGTGATTCAGTGACAGATATGAAGCTTTTCTGTATGTTGTTTATTAAAATATCATAAAAAGAACAAGATAAGCAGTGATAATTTAACATGACAAATTATCCAGTGATTTTTATCACCAGCACTGGATCACTGGTCTGATTGCTCCATTGTGTTGGCAGGGGTCTAGGACAGTAATGGTTCTGTTAAACACATCATTGCATGCTTGACTAAGGAGACAAAAATATATATAGTGCTGTGCAGAAGATATCCAGATATCCCTGCCCATACTGGTGTCAGCAGTAGATGCACCTAAGCACTTAATTGTATTAGCATTACCACTGCTAGTTGGAGGAGGGAAAGTGAGGGGTGATGCATCTTGACACTCAAGAGGTGGAAAAACAGGCAGTGAACGTACATCAGAAATGTGAGATTATGATGCTATTTTAGAAGTGTTCAGACAGTAAGGGTATCTTCTCAGTTTTGTAATCCTTTAATCACTATAGGAAGAATCCAAAACTGCTGGGTTTTTCTTGGTAGCTCATCTGGATGTAGTTTTAGTACCCTGGTGATACTTAGACTGTGAAATCTGACAGGATCAATCTGTGTCCTCGTTTTCAGGGTGCCTGTTACGCAGTAAAGCTTGCAGGTGCTTTCTGCTGAGGCAGGACTTGCTTAATCAAGAGCTGTAATTCTCCATTTTGTCACACTTTTGAAGAGCTTGGTTTAAGTAGGTGGGGTTTAATCAATGGCTAAAACCAGGAAGATAGCCAGGACCAGTGCAGTTTTTTAATGTGGTTTGGATGTGTGGTTTTCTTTGTGTTTGTTTTTTGTTTGTTAGTGAAGTATTTGTTTGCCTTCATTTTTAGTTCAATCACTGGCAGCACTGGCACTTTGTTGGGGCATGAAGGCTTTTTTTAAAGTTATGCTAAATGGATAGGTTACGCTCCAGCAAAATGTTGTGGGGAATTTTTACCCATGCATCCTGTAGTAAGACTTGAAGTTGTAAATGCAACTTGAAGTTTTAAATGCAACAGTCAGCTATGCCTGACAGTTTCACTTCCCTCATTCTCACCTGCTGTAACCTGTAGAGTTAAATCTGTAGAAACAAAATTAAAAACCCCAAACTAAAAGATGAATTAACATATCTAACGAAGTCATGCACAGGTTACTTGTGTAACTGTGTATAAGGTTTTTTTTCTATTGCTCTTCTATCTACTTGCTCATCACTTCCATCTAAAATCATGATGTCTTTGGGCCCAACTTTGTTCTTGTATGTCTTTTTTTAATAGTGCTTTGCACAATAGATGTATAACTGAGGCCTTTAGCCGTGTCTGTAACAACAACAAAAAAGCATTTGAGAATATATGTTTGGGTAAACTCTTTTTTAGAGTTCTTCTGTATGCATACACTGCCAGATTCTGAATTCCTGTCACTGTTTCATGAAGACAGAAGTTGTCTCCCATTCCTGATGATAATCCTAGAAAGCTTTTACAGAAGGGTACCTATTATGTAATAGAACATGAGTTTACATAGAAGTCACTGATTTGCACCAGAGTCATGACTGCCTGTTTAAGGTAGCAATCTGTATTCTTGCTTTTGGTCTTCGTCATAGATCTTCTGGGAAGAGCCACTGCTCTAGCAGCCCTGTCTACTGACCTCAGTTGAGACTTCAAGAGCAGCTGCATTACAAACTGTGGAATTGGTGCTGCGCTCAGATCCAAATCTAATCTTTAGGCAATGTAGAATGAGGGAATGAGCAAGTGAAAACATGTGGTAACCTGGTGAATGATTTGCATTGAGGTTTACAAACAACACATACAGCATCCCTGTTTCACCTCTAACCAGTAACTAAGGCCAGCTTTTCTACTCCTGGTCTTGAAACTTTTATTCCTTGGGTTTCTTTTAAAAAGCTGTGGCTAGCCTGGTAACCTGCAGAATGCAGAAGGTTCCATTTGAATGCTGGCTAATGACCATATGTGCTGGCCATAAAAATACTGGCCAGTGGAGGAGATTAAATGTATTTTAAGTAGCTATTGGCATTGCTTTAAAGTCTACAGTGAATGTTGGTCAGAGCAGTGAGTGAAGGAGTTGGCAGTATAAAGAGTTATTGCTGCCCTCTGTTTGCTTTGTTTCATGTCTCTGCAACACACCTGAGATCATGTAGCTCAATATACTGCAGACATTTGAAGGTAGGGCTACTGAGCAGTTTCAAAAGCTTCTGTAATAGAATATGAAGTCCTGAATAAGTTACAGTGGGCTTTAAAAACAAAGTAATTTTTTTTTGTTTGAATTTTTATCTCTTCATTTCTAAGCTCTAGATGTGGTCATCTCAACAAGCAATGTGTCTGTGACTGAAAGAGATTCCCTGGATCTTATGTGCAGCATCACAACAGACCGGAGTGGTATTTTCCAAGCAGAGGTGATGTGGTATTTTTCTGCATCACCTGATGCTACCTTGTCAGATGCTCAGGTTTTGCTGAGCATGGACCATGATTCTGTTGTGAGTGATTCAACTCTAATCAGCCTGAGCCATGTCGATAGGAACTCCTATCGCCTGTTGGTACGTGATGTGGATGTGGGAGACTCTGGCTACTACTTCTGCCAAGCAGCTGTTTGGGTGCCACTGCATAACGGAAGTTGGCATAAGGTGGTGGAGAGAACATCTGCACCTGTCAGTGTGGTGGTGACAGTATTAGGTGAGTGATTCTGTTTTCAGAGTTCATGGGTAATGTATTGCTCATTCCTTGGTCCCATCTTGATCCTGCAAGAGAGGATCTTGCAGAAACTCTTCTGCATAAGTTTCTCTCTTGTTTGCACCTATTATCTATGTAAAGTATCTCTCTCACATATAAAAATACTGATGCTATAGTGTTTTGGATTTGTACATTATAGGTCTTACGGCATGTGTCACTTACACATTCCACTTTCTGCTGTCAACAGTCTGCAGCTGGGAAATAGAACTTAAAGCCTGCCTTGTTTTTTAGGGCCTGAAGCTGCCCTTGTCATGTTGTCCCCTTCCACTTCCCTCATACCATTAGCAGGGCTCTGATCCAGCAACATTCTTTCTGAGCTCTGAACGCAGTGGTATCAGATGCTTTCTCTGATTTTCACAAGTCATATTATAAAAACTATAGAAACTTGATAATGACAGCTTTGAAAGTTGCTGGGTTTTGTTTTGTTGTTTTAATTGCTAGAGAGACATACATCCTGTTGGTGGATTTAGAATGGAACATGACTTTATACTGTTTTATTCTCCTTCCTCGATAAACAAGTACATTTTTTGAGACCATGTCACAAAGCTGTTGAGTAGTGTGACTGAGTGAGAGAGACCTGGCTGGTGGCTAACTTAATGCTAGTGGTATTGATTAGCATAGTGGCCACTAACACAGATCTTCCTGTGGTATTTAATGTCCTACTCAGTGTGGTGCTGTCGTGGTTTAACCCCAACCAAGACAGCTTGTGCACTTACTCCCAGTGAGTGGTGCCAGGCTGGAAGCAATCGAGGCCCACGTTAGTCCATCCCGTCCCCCCCCTTTCCCCAGAGGGATGGGGAGGAGAATCGAAGGATTGCAACTCCCACGGGCTGAGATAAGAACAGTCTAGCAACTAATGTACAATACGAATCACCACCAGTACCACCAACGACAACAATGATATGAGAAAATAGCAAAGGAAAGGAGTACAATACCACGCGCCGAACCACCAGTCCGACCCAGCTGACCCCCTGTCCTTCCGGGTACCTCCCAGTTCCCCCCTGGGCATGATGTGCTGTGGTATGGAATACCTCTTTGGTCAGATTGGGTCAGGTGTCCTGTCTCTGCTTCCTCCCGGCTTCCCCTCCTCCCTGGCAGAGCATGAGAATCACAAAGTCCTTGGCCAAACCAAAACATCATTTTTATCAGCTTTGTTCCCAGCCCGAAAGTCAAAACACAGCATTGCACCAGCTACCAAGAAGGAGAAAAATGACTGCTACTGCTAAACCCAGGACAGTATCCACCCCTTATTCCATACCATTCACGTCATGCTCAGATCCCACATTTTCAATATACCATCACTCTTATCTAAGTGCACTCTAATCCTAGTGCATGGGCCAGTCCCTATAAAGCTGCTGAGTCCATCTGGTCCATGATGTCAGGCTCCATCTCTTGTAACAGTCTTTCAGAACAGGAGAGGCCGCGTGCAGTATTGGGTCGTTGCCTGCTGATGCTGATCATTCCCTTACTGTAGAACTTGTCTGGTTCCGTCAAAGTTCACTCTCTGTTGGGATGGTGGTTGAAGGGAAGTCAGGGCTAGTTGCTGGTGGCCTGAAGACGTCTGGTTGACGGGCTATTAAAGTATTACACAGCAGGCAATACAATTAAGTTCATTGGCTGTTTTCCCCTAAAATTAAATCCCCTTGAGGTACATATCGGACTTCCCATCATCCCGCATTACCCACCAAGTGTATCCAGGTCCCAGAGCAAAAGCAATCCCACGAGTGGGTTTGCCTTTACTTGAAGCAGGAATAACCCAGGCTGTCTTCCCCAGCAAATTTTTCATATGCACCACAGGAACTTTGTCCCCCTCTACAATATGTAAAAGTTCCGATTGGGCTGGGCCAGCTCTGTTGGCAGATCCTCTGGTGTTGACCAACCAGGTGGCCTTTGGTAAGTGTGTATCCCAATGCTTGAAAGTTCCCCCACCCATTGCTCTCAGTGTAGTTTTTAACAGCCCATTGTACCTTTCGATTTTCCCAGAGGCTGGTGCATGGTAGGGGATGTGATATACCCACTCAATGCCATGCTCTTTGGCCCAAGTGTCTATAAGGTTATTCTGGAAATGAGCCCCATTGTCTTGACTCAATTCTCTCTGGGGTGCCGTGTCGCCACAAAATCTGTTTCTTAAGGCCCAGGATAGTGTTCCGGGCAGTGGCGTGGGGCACAGCGTACGTTTCCAGCCATCCGGTGGTTGCTTCCACCATGGTAAGCACATGGCGCTTACCTTGGCGGGTTGGTGGCAGTGTGATATAGTCAATCTGCCAGGCCTCCCCATATTTATACTTCAGCCATCGTCCTCCATACCAAAGAGGTTTTAACAGTTTGGCTTGTTTAATGGCAGCACATGTTTCACACTCATGAATAACCTGGGCAATAGTGTCCATTGTTAAGTCCACCCCTCGATCACGGGCCCATCTGTATGTTGCATCTCTGCCCTGATGGCCTGAAGCGTCATGGGCCCACCGGGCCAAAAATAATTCACTTTTATGTTGCCAATCTAAGTCCATCTGAGACACTTCAATCTTAGCAGCTTTATTCACCTGTTGATTGTTCTGGTGTTCCTCAGTGGCCCGACTCTTGGGTACATGGGCATCTACATGACGTACCTTCACCACCAGGTTTTGCACCCGGGCAGCAATATCGCTCCACAGTGCAGCAGCCCAGATAGGTTTACCTCTGCGTTGCCAGTTGCTCTGCTTCCATTGCTGCAACCACCCCCACAGGGCATTTGCCACCATCCATGAGTCAGTATAGAGATAAAGTACTGGCCACTTTTCTCGTTCAGCAATGTCCAGGGCCAGCTGGATGGCTTTCACCTCAGCAAACTGACTCGATTCACCCTCTCCTTCAGCAGTTTCTGCAACTTGTCGTCGAGGATTCCATACAGCTGCCTTCCATCTTCGATGTTTTCCCACAATACGGCAGGACCCATCAGTAAACAAGGCATACTGCTTTTCACTTTCTGACAGCTGATTATATGGTGGGGCCTCTTCAGCAAGCATCACCTCCTCCTCTGGTGACATTCCGAAATCTTTGCCCTCTGGCCAGTCCATGATGAATTCTAGAATGCCTGGACGACTGGGATTTCCTATTCGAGCTCGTTGTGTAATTAGTGCAGCCCATTTACTCCATGTAGCATCAGTTGCATGATGCGTAGAGGAGACCCTGCCTTTGAACATCCAGCCCAGCACGGGCAACCAGGGTGCCAGGAGGAGCTGTGCTTCGGTGCCAATCACTTCCGAAGCAGCTCGAACCCTTTCGTAGGCTGCCGGTATCTCTTTCTCAGTTGGGGTATAGCTTGCCTCGGATCCTTTGTATCCCCAACTCCAAAAACCAAGGGGTCGACCTCGAGTCTCTCCTGGAGCTTTCTGCCAGAGGCTCCAGGTAGGGCCATTCTCCCCAGCTGCGGTGTACAATACATTTTTTACATCTGGCCCAGTCCGAACTGGTCCAAGGGCCACTGCATGAACTATCTCGCGTTTAATTTGCTCAAAGGCTTGTTGTTGCTCAGGTCCCCATTTAAAATCATTCTTCTTACGGGTCACATAATAGAGAGGGCTTACAATCAAACTGTAATTTGGGATGTGCAGTCTCCAGAACCCCACTGCACCCAAGAAAGCTTGTGTTTCTTTCTTATTAGTTGGTGGAGACATTGCTGTTATCTTGTTGATTACATCTGTGGGGATCTGTCTACGTCCATCTTGCCATTTTATTCCCAGAAATTGAATCTCCTGTGCAGGTCCCTTGACCTTACTTCATTTTATGGCAAAACCGGCTTTCAGCAGGATTTGGATTATTTTCCTCCCTTTCTCAAAGACTTCTTCTGCTGTATCGCCCCACACAATAATGTCATCAATGTATTGCAGGTGTTCTGGAGCTTGCCCCTGTTCCAGTGCAGTCTGAATCAGTCCATGGCAAATGGTAGGGCTGTGTTTCCAGCCCTGGGGCAGTCGGTTCCAAGTGAACTGGACACCCCTCCAAGTAAAAGCAAACTGTGGCCTGCACTCTGCTGCCAAAGGAATTGAGAAAAACGCATTGGCAATATCAGTCGTGGCATACCACTTGGATGCCTTTGACTCCAGTTCATACTGAAGTTCTAGCATGTCTGGTACGGCAGCACTCAAGGGTGGTGTGACTTCATTCAGGCCACGATAGTCTATTGTTAGTCTCCACTCTCCGTTAGACTTTCGCACTGGCCATATGGGGCTATTAAAGGGCGAGCGGGTCCTGCTGATCACTCCCTGACTCTCCAGTCTATGGATCAGCTGATGGATCGGAATCAGGGAGTCTTCGTTGGTGCGATATTGCCGCCGGTGCACTGTTGTGGTCGCAATTTCTCACTTGTTGTTCTTCGACTTTCAGCAGCCCCACAACAGAAGGATCCTCTGAGAGACCAGGCAAGGTGGACAGCTGTTCAATTTCCTCAGTCTCCAAAGCAGCAATACCAAAAGCCCATCGGTACCCTTTTGGGTCTTTGAAATACCCTCTCTTGAGGTAGTCTATGCCAAGGATGCATGGAGCCTCTGGGCCAGTCACAATACGGTGCTTTTGCCATTCTCTCCCAGTCAGGCTGATTTCAGCCTCCAGTACAGTCAACTCTTGGGATCCTCCTGTCACTCCAGAAATATAGATGGGTTCCACCCCTTGACAGCTCGATGGCATCAGGGTACACTGTGCACCGGTATCTACTAGAGCCTTATACTTCTGTGGGACTGATGTGCCAGGCCATCTGATCCACACAGTCCAGTAAATCCGATTGTCCCCTACCTCCACCTGGCTGGAGGCAGGGCCCCTCTAATAGTCATCACAGGATTGGACGCTTAAGTCATGTTGAAAGGGATTATTCTTCTTTATCACAGGAGCTGGAGTAAAATCAGCTCTTCCACTCCACCTGGGAAACTGCTCACCAGAGACTGAAGCCGTAGCTCTCATGGGACGATCAGTCTTG